GTTTTCTTCAATTTCTTTCAACAGTGTTTTATAGTTTTCAGTGTGTAGGTCTTTCACCTCTTTGGTTAAATTTATTTCTAGGTATTTTGTTCTTTTTATTGCAATTGTAAATAGGTTTGTATTCTGCTTTTTTTTTTCCTTAGAAAGATTTGCCCTAATCTAACATCTGTGCCAGTCTTCCTCTTTTTGTTTGAGGAAGATTTTCCCTGAGGTAACGTGTGTGCCAATCTTTCCTTATTTTATATGTGAGTTGCTGTCACAGCACAGCTGCTGACAAGTGGTGTAGGTGCACACCCAGGAACTGAACTTGGGCTGCCAAAGCAGAGTGTGCTGAATTTAGCCACTAGGCCAGGGAGCCAATCCAAGGGATTGTATTTTTAATTTCTCTTTTTGTTGTTTCACTTTTAGTATAGAGAAATACAAATGATTTTTGTATGTTGATTTTGTATCCTGCAACTTTATTATACTCATTTGTCATTTCTTTTTTTTTTTTTTTTGAGGAAGATTAGCCCTGAACTAATATCTGCCACCAATCCTCCTCTTTTTTGACGAGGAAGACTGGCCCTGAGCTAGCATCTGTGTCCATCTTCCTCTACTATATATATGGGACTCTTGCCACAGCATGACTTGACAAGCAGTGAGTAGGTACACACCCAGGATCCAAACCAGTGAACTCCAGGCCACTGAAGTGGAACGTGCAAACTTAACCACTGTGCCACTGGGCTGGCCCCTCATTTATCATTTCTGACAATTTTGGGGTGGATTATTTGGGGTTTTCTATATATAAAATCATGTCATCTGCAAATAGTGGCAGTTTCACTTTTTCCTTTCCAATTTGGATCCTTTAAATTTTTTCTATTTTTTTTAAGTCTCTATTTCATTTATTTCCACTCTGATTTTTATTATTTCCTTCCTTCTACTGATTTTGGGCTTTGTTTTTTCTCCTGTTTCCAGTTCCTTTAGGAGCACTGTTAGATTGTTTATTTGAGATTTTTCTTGCTTGTTGAGGTAAGCCTGTATTACTATAAACTTCTCTCTTAGAACCATTTTTGCTATATCTCATAAATTTGGTATGCTGCATTTTCATTTTCATTTGCCTACAGGTATTTTTTAATTTCTCTTTTGATTTCTTCATTGACCCAATAGTAATTCAGTAGCATTTTGTTTGATCTCCACGTATTTATGGCTTTTCCAGTTTTCTTCCTGTAGATGATTTCTAGTTTCATACCAGTGTAGTCAGAAAAGATGCTTGGTATTATTTTAATCTTCTTAAATTTATTGAGACTTGTTTCGTGGCCTAATATGTGATCTATTCTAGAGAATGTTCCATGTGCATTCAAAAAGAATATGTATTCGGCAGTTTTTGGATGGCATGCTCTGTACATATCTACTAAGTCCATCTGGTCAAATGTGTCATTTAAGGCCAACATTTCCTTATGGATCTTCTGTTTGGATGATCTATCCATTGATGTAAGTGGAATGTGAAAGTCCCCTACTATTATTGTGTTACTGTCTATTTCTCCTTTTACATCTGTTCATAATTGCTTTGTATATTTAGCTGCTCCTGTGTTGGATGAATCGATGCTTACAAGTGTTATATCCTCTTGTTGGATTGTTTCCTTTATCATTAGGTAGTGACCTTCTTTGTTTCTCGTTACAGTTTTTGTTTTAAAGTCTATTTTGTCTGATATAAGTATTGCTACCAAAGTTTTCTTTTCATTACCATTTGCATGGATTATTTTTTTCCATCCCTTCACTTTCAGTTTGTGAGTGTCTTTAGGTCTGAAGTATGTCTCTTGCTTGCAGCATATATATGGGTTTTGTTTTTTTTATCCAATCAGCCACCCTATGTATTTTGAGTGGAGCACTTAATCCATTGACATTTAAAGTAGCTACTGATAAGTATGTACTTAGTGCCATTTTGTTACTTTTTTTCTGAGTGTTTTAATAGCTCTTCTCTGTTCCTTTGTTCTTCTCTTGCTCTCTTCCCTTGTGGTTTGATGGATTTGTTTAGTATTATGTTTGGCTTTCTTTATCTTATTTTTTTGTGTATTTACTACAGGTTTCTGGTTTGTGGTTACCATGAGGTTCATGTATAATAACCTACGGAAATAGTAATCTATATTAAGTTGATGGTCTCTCAAATTTGACCTCTTGCTGAAATCTTTACTCTTTTATTCCCTTCCTCCCACATTTTATGTTTTTGGTATCATATTTAATCTCTTTTGTGTGTGTGTGTGTGTGTGTGTGTGTATCCATTAACCTCTTATCTTAGAAATAGATAATTTTAGTACTTTTGGCTTTTGACCTTTATATTAGCTTCATAGATGGTTCACCTGCTGCCTTTACTGTATATTTAGTTTTACCAATGATTTTATTATTTAGTATTATTTTGATAATTTTCTTATTACTATTTGTGGTCTTTTCTTTTCCTCCTAAATAAGTCCCTTTAGCATTTCTTGTAAGGCTGCTTTCTTGGTGATAAATTCCTTTAGTTTTTGCTTATCTGGAAAACTCTTTGTCTCTCCTTCCATTCTGAATGATAACCTTGCCCGGTAGAGTCTTCTTGGCTGTAGGTTTTTCCTTTCATCACTTTAAATATATTGTGCCACTCCCTTCTAGCCTGTAAGATTTTTTGCTGAGAAGTCAGCTGGTAGCCTTATGGAGTTGCCTTTCTCTTGCAGCTTTTAGGATTCTTTGTCTTCAGCTGTTGACATTTTAATTACAATGTGTCATCATGTGGGCCTCTTCAGGTTCATCTTGTTGGGTGCTCTCTGTGCCTCCTTAACCTAGATGTCTGTTTCCTTCCTTAAGGTAGGAAACTTTTCAGTTATTATTTCTTTGAATAGATTCTGTGCTCCTTTGTGTCTCTCTTCTCCTTCTGGGACACCTGTAATACACATGTTAGTGAGCTTGATGTTGTCCCAGAGTCCCTTAGACAGTCCTTGTTCTTTTTAATTCTTTTTTCTTTTATCTGTTCAGCTTGGATGATTTCTTCTAGTCTTTTGTCCAGCTCACTGATCCGTTCTTCTGTGGGATCTACTCTGCTATTGATTTTCTCTAGTGAATTCTTCAGTTCCATTATTGTATTCTTCAGTTCTGATTGGTTCTTTTTTATATTTTCCAATTCTTTGTTGAAATTCTCACTATATTCATCTATTCTTCTTGCAAGATCCTTATGACTACTAGTTTGTACTCTTTATCAGGTAGATTGTTTATCTCTGTTTTGTTTAGTTCTTTTTCTGAGGATTTGTCTTTTTCTTTTATTTCAAGCATATTCCTATTTCTCCTCATTTTGCCTGTTTCTCGGTGCTTGTATCTATGTTTTAGGTAGATCAGCTATGTCTCCTGATCTTGGAGAGGTGCCCTTATGTAAAAGATGCCTTATGAGGCCCAGCAGTGTTCTTCCTTCTTGTCACCAGTTCCAAATGTTCCAGGAGTGTCCCCTGTGTGGGCTACATGTGTCCTTCCATTGTGGTGGGTTACTGCAGGTGTATGGGAAGGCTACACTGTCCCCCTGGCTGGCTGGTTGCAAGTCCCAGCTGCCTGAGGCTGCTATGGTCACTTCAGTCACTTTATTGGGCAGAGGAGTCCCAGCACAATTGGTTGCAAGGTCTAATAGCACATTACTGCTGCAGTTTTTCTGTTAAGTGAGTAGGCCCCCAGCATGGGTGGTTGCTAGGCTCAGGGGCTCACAATTGCTGTAGTCCTCTGGCCTGCAAGGCTGTTGTCGGCTCTCTTAGTAGTGCAGCTGGGTGGGCTGGCCCCAGGTGTGGCAGCACACTGTTGTTTCAGGTGTTGGAATGTGGGGCAGATCCACTATAGGGCTGTTTGAGAAGCACAAGTCTGCTGCAGCTGACAAGCTGCACTGCCTCCAGGCCCACACACGCCATCCATGCAGTCCTGCCCCATACCCATGCCCTCTCCCGCTGAAGCATACCCACTCGCCCTGCTGCAGAGGCCCCACACACTGCCAATGCAGGCTCACCCCTCATGTACTCCCTCCCCTGCAAAAGCAGACCCACTCGCCCCACCACAGAGGTCTCATGCACCCTGCCTATGCAGGCTTAGAAATTGTCTGAGGGGTTGCTGGTGGGTGGGGCCCATTCCTAGGGCTGGCTGCATGCCCTGGCTGAGCTGGAGTAAATCAGTGCTCTAGTGGGTGGGGCAAACTCCTGCACCAACAGGCCAGGGGAAGAATTCTAAGAGCATCTGCCAGCATCTGTGTCAGCACACCTGCACTAGGTCACAATAATGGCTGCTGCGCATGTCTCAGTCTCTGAGGAGGTCGTCCCAGCTGCATTTAGCCTCCCTGAGATGCACTCAGAGCCTATCAAGTGAGTGTCTCTTCACCAAAGATCTGTGTACCTCTCTTTCTGGTGATGTTATGTTGCTTCCAAAAAGGGTGAATTTGTATGCAGGCTTTTGTTTCTCTTATGTTCAATAGCTTTTCTGGGAGTATTCCTCATTGTTGTTAATAGCCAGCAAAGCCAGATATTATGACACTCGTCTCGGTTGTGCTGTGTTCAAAAGCTGTATATTGTCACAAAGCTCTCCCGCTCAGAACCTCTGCTCCTTTGGGAAAAGCTTTGTACCTTAAGATTGCTCCTGGCCGTGAAGCACCACGGCTAGAATGTGGCTTTTTTCCTCTCCAGAAAGGTATTTCTGCCTCTTCCACCTCAGTCAGTACTGTTCCTTGTGGTGGGGTTCTTTTTTATCCAGTTTCCAGTTTTCTCTCAGGGGTAATTGTTCCAAGGGTTGTTGTAAACCTGTTGTGTCTGTGGGAGGAGGTGAGTTCGGAGTCCTCCTGCGCCACACTCTTCCCAGCAATACTGTCTTTTCCCATTCTTACTCACCACCACGAGATGTTTGTTAGGTACATTGTCTTAAGCTTTTCTCGTTAGTTAATTTTTCTCTTCCTCTTCTCTGACAGGCCTCTAACCTCTGCCCACTTCGCAACTAAACTTTGTCCAATGTTTTGTGAAAATGACAAGATCAGAATAAAAGTCACAACTAATCTAGTAAGAACAAGATTGCTGTTCTGTTTTTCAAATGGAGCTGTCAGAGGACTCTAATTATCTGACATCTTCTGTGAATCACCTCAGCATTACATGAAGTGTTATGTTTTACAGAATAACTCAGTGAGGCAGAAGACGCTACCAGCTGTAGGCCCCCGAGAGCTGGGATTTTAACTAAGCAAAGAAAATCTCCAACAGGGTGACCTTGAATGTTTCTTGTTTTTCTTCAATTGGAGAGACAGAAGATCACCTCGTGAGCCAGTACCACCTTCTGCACTCGTACTGGGAGAGGCAGGTGGTAAGCCACCTTTGAGACAAGTACGTCTTCATCACGGGCTGTGACTTGGGCTTTGGGAACCTGCAGGCTTGAGGGTGCTGGCTGCATGTCTGATGGAGAAGAGGGCCGAGCAGCTGAGGAGCTAGAGGTCAGACAGGCTGGAGATGGTGATCCTGTGTGTCACCAAGGCAGAGAGTATTGCTGCAGCCAACTAGTGGGTGAAAGAGTGCGTGGGGGACAGAGGAATGGCCAGGAGGAGTTTATCCTTTAAACAGGATGGTTTTCCTCTATGTCTTAGCATTATCAGATAATATGCCAAGTGAAAGCCTTAGGGATTAAGGTGGAATATGTATTGGGGATGTGTTTTTGTGTCATCAGAACTGACAAATACAAGTTATTTATGAGGACAAAGAAAGAATGTTTGAAGTCTAGACTGCTATCAAAAATTCAAGTTTTTTGTAATTCATGTGTCTCTAACTGGTTGGAAGGTGGAACAAGGACTGGGAGGAATAGACAGTGAGAAAGAGAAGCAGATGACTGCGGTATAGAAATTGAACTTGGTAGGGACTTTGGCCACTGAAAATCTAAGCTACAAGTACGTCTGCTTAGCAAAAAAAGTAAGTGAAGAAGTGAGTTCATTTGCATACTAACACCACCCTAATAACCCCAATTACTATGACCTTTTAGAGATGAGGACATTACAGTGAGAGACATTGAGATAATTGCCCGATTATCCAGATGATGACAAAGGCAGAATTACAAACCAGGTCATCTTGCTCAAGAGCTATCTCTGTTCCGTAAAGTGCTTCATTTTACACATTCTCTAGCAGCCATGGCCCAGCGATCAGGCCTGGTGTATAAGGGATGATTCTTGGCTTTCCCAGCTTTCAGAGAAAAAAACGCTTTGCTTCACAGTGTTCTCTCCTGCTTAGCTTCCCTATTCATGTACTAATATATTTTGCCCAATGTTTACTGTTCCTAAAAGATTGCCAAAGTATGAGCAAGTTTACAACTCGAGGAGAGAAGAATCTGAACCATGTCATCAATTGCATGGAGCACATCTGACTGCTGTCCATCTCCACATCTGCTGATCTGCTGGCAGGGATGCCAACCTTTTCTCTCATCTTCTCTCTTATGTGCCAGTATCCCTGCAGATTTTACACTTAGCAAGTTCATGAGCAAGGTCAGGCCTACTGGTGCTGTGTAGTATGCAAATCTCACCTAACCCCTGAATTCTGAATCAGAGTTTAACAAGTGAGTTTTGATTAAGTTCTTTTGGGGGGAGGTGAAACTGGTTATCAATGTTAACACATTTGGAGAGATGTTGCCATCTTTTATCCTTGTGTGTTACTAATTAACATCCTTTCATTTCAGCTTGAAGAATTCCTGTTAGCATTAATCATAAGGCATGTTTAGTGGTGATGAATTCCCTCAGCACTGCCTTCAGTTCTGAAGAACAACTTTCCTAGGTAAAGTTTTCTTGTTTGGCAGGTCTCATTTGTAGCACTTTGAATATATCTTCCCATTCTCTCCTAGACCACAAGGTCTCTGCTGAGAAATCTGTTGCTAGTCTTGTGGGGGTTCCCTTGTGTGAGAGAAATTTTTTTCTCTTGTTGTTTTTAAAATTCTTTCTTTGTCTTTGATTTTAGACGGTTATATTATGATGTATCTTGGAGAAGATTGTTTTGGATTGATATTTTGAAATGACCTCTTAGCTTCTTGAACTTGGAAGTCCAAATCTCTCTCCAAGTTTGGGAACTTTTCAGCCATTATTCTTTTTTTTTTTTTTTTTTTAAAGATTTTATTATTTCCTTTTTCTCCCCAAAGCCCCCCGGTACATAGTTGTATATTCTTCGTTGTGGGTCCTTCTAGCTGTGGCATGTGGGATGCTGCCTCAGCGTGGTCTGATGAGCAGTGCCATGTCCGCGCCCAGGATTCGAACCAACGAAACACTGGGCTGCCTGCAGCGCAGCGCACGAACTTAACCACTCGGCCACGGGGCCAGCCCCAGCCATTACTCTTTTTTAATAAGCTTTCTACACTTTTCTCCCTCTGTTCTCCTTCCAGGACTCCAATGATACATATATTGTTTCTTTTAATGGTGTCCCATAAGTCTTGTAGGTTTTCTTTATTCCTTTTCATTATGTTTTCTATGTACTCCTGATTGGATAATTTCAATTGTTCCCTCTTCGAGCTCACCTATTCTTTCTTCTGATAGATCAAGTCTGTTGTTGGAGACTTCTATTGAGTTCTTTAGTTCAATCATTGTATGCTTCAGCTCCAAAATTTCTATTTGGTTCTGCTTTTTATGTTTTCTATCTCTTCACTGAACTTCTCATTTTGTTCTTGTATTGTTTTCCTAATATCATTAAATTATTTATCTGTGGTCTCCTGTAGCAATTTGAGCATCTTTAGAACATTACTTTGAATTCTTTGTCAAGCAATTCTTGGATCTCCATTTCTTTGGGGCCAGTTACTGGAGGTTTACTGTATTCCTTTGGTGGAGTCATGTTTCCCTGATTGTGTGTGATTCCTGTAGCCTTCTGCAGGTGTCCGTGCATCTGAAGAAACAGTCACCTCTTCCAGACTTTATGGGCTGACTTCAGTAAGGGAAGACTTTCACCTGTGGGTAGGGGCTCTCTAGAGTATGCTGGGACTCTGGGTCTGGTAGTTCAGGGCACCAAGTGCAGGGGTTTGTGGTAGCACTGATGCAGTGGGGCAAAAGTGGGTGAAAACTCCAGGGGGTCTGTGGTGACTGCACTAGCCATTAATTCCTTCCGTGGTGAAATTTGCTAGGTTGGGAAAGCCACTGTGAGCTGTGATTGCTCCTGCTGTGTGGCTGCTCTTGGTAGCCCTGGCTTTTCTTCCCTGTTCCTGGTCATTTCTACATGTCTCAGTTTTGCTGGTCTGGGTGGAGTGAAGCTAAAGTGGAACACTTGTGTAGTGCCCTGGAAGGCTGGAGAAGCTGGTTGCTTACCCTTCTCTTTCTTTCCTGATGGGGGGAACTCTTTCTAGCTGGGAAGTTCCCTCTTGGAGCTGAGCAAAGTTATCTTGGGGATGGGATGTTACAAGCAAAATCTTCCTTCCAAGCTGTCTTCCTTCTATCCTTGTGCAGTTATTCTCAGTTTTTTGTTCCACCATGCTGCTAAAGTCTCTTAAAGTAGGTTCTGGAGCTCTCCCAGAGTTGTGTTGTTCGTGGATAACATTCTAATTGTTGATTTCTGTAGGGAGATAGAGGCTGGGGTGTTCTACATTGCCTTTTTGGTGCTGTAACTCCATTCTCTTCAAGACTATTCAATGGGTAAGTGGCAGTATTTTGAACAAACCATATTGGGAAAACTGGTCTTGGAATTGTGCTACAGTTTTGCAAGATGTTCCCACTGGAGAACATGGCATGAAGGGTGCATGGGACCTTTCTATGTTATTTCTTACCAGTGTATGTGAATAACCTATCTGAAAATAAAAATTAAAAGTTTAAATAAAAAAATAGAGAGGATATAAAGCCCTTTGTATGTACATAAAAACTGAAAGAGGGCCAGCCCTGTGGCCTTGTGGTTGGGGTTCCACACACTCTGCTTTGGCAGTCTGGGTTGGCAGGTATGGATGCCCCATGTGGACCTGCTTTACTCATGAGTCGTGCTGTGGAGACATCCCACATACAACGTAGAGGAAGACTGGCATGAATGTTAGCTCAGGGCTAATCTTTCTCAAGCAAAAATAAAGAGGAGGATTGGCAAGAGGTGTTAGCTCAGGGTGAATCTTCTTCACCAAAACAAAAAAAAAGAAAAAAAGAAAATGTAGAGAAATACTTTAAAAAACAATTGAAAGAGTAATCCTCAGCCAGCCAGCACTAGAAGAAATTTTTTTTCTTTATAGGTTTTATTTTTTTACTTTTTCTCCCAAAGCCCCCCAGTACATAGCTGTATATTTTTAGTTGTGGGTCCTTCTAGTTGCGGCATGTGGCATGCCACCTCAGCATGGCCTGATGAGTGGTGCCATGTCCACGCCCAGGATTTGAACCTGCAAAACCCTGGGCCACTAAGCAGAGTGCATGAACTTAACCACTCGGCCATAGGGCCGGCCCCAAGGAATATTTTTTAATTCGAAGGAAAGTGATACCAGAAGGATATTTAGATCTACACAGAGGAAAAAAGAGTACTAGAAATATAAGTGTTTGATAAGTATGAAATATTTATTTTCTTATTTTTAAAACTCTTTAAAAGATCACTGATTGTTTAAAGCAAAAATAGTAATGATGTATTATAGGATTTATAGCATGCATAAAGTAAGATGTATGTCAATACACACAAAACCTGGGAAGGAGGAAATGGAAGTATACTCTTTGAAGGTTCTTATATGTGAGGTGGTATGATATCGTTACAAATAGTCTAATGAGTTAAACGTGTGGTTTTTTGAATTTTTTAAATCTCTTTTAAAGACAATTGACTGTTTAAAACAAAAACAATAAAAATGTATTTGAGGTTTATATATAGTATATATGTAGAAGAAAAATACGTGAAAATAGTAGTGCAAAGACTGGGAGGAGGAAATGGAAGTACGTAGTGTAAGATCGTGTACTAAATGTGAAATGCTATTACTTGAAAAGGGACTGATAACCTAAACATTTATACAAAACAGACTGGTATAGCTAATAACCTATTTTAAAAAAAAGATAAGATAGGATCATAAAAAATCCAATTAGTGTACAAGAAAGTAGAAAAACAAAAAAGGGAACAAAGAACGTATGGGACAAATAGAAAATTGATAGATTTAAACCACCCCATACCAATAGTCTCATGACTGTAAATAATCTAAATACCCCAATTAAAAAGCGGATGTAGTTAGACTGGATTTCAAAAAAAGACCAACAACAGTAGTGCCTCCTTTTCTGTGGTTTCACTTTCCCCAGTTTCAGTTACCCACAGTCAGCTGCGGTGCAGAAGCAGATGATCCTCCTTCTGAGCTATCATCAGGAGGTCAGTAGTGGCCTAATGCTACAACACGATGTCTACATCATTCACTCCACCTCCTCTCATCATGTAGGCATTTTATCATCTAACATCATCACAAGAAGGGTGAGTACAGTACAATAAGATATTTTGAGAGAGAGAGAGACCACATTCACCTAACTTTTATTACGGTACATTGTCACAATTATTCTATTGTATTCTCAGTTATTGTTGTTAATCTCCTACTGTGTCTAATTAATAAATTAAACTTTATCATAGGTGTGAAGGTACAGGAAAAAGCATAGCATATACAGGGTTTGGTACTATCCTCGGTTTCAGGTATCCACTGGGGATGTTGGAATGTGTGCCCTGTGGGTAAGGGAGGACTATATTATGTGTGGCTAACATTAAAAAAAAATTGCTTTAAATGTAAAATATTAGTTAAAAGAAAGATAGAAAGGGCGGAAAGATACAGGTTGACAGAAAAAGATGGAAAGCTAGTAGCGATCACAAGAAAGTTGGAGTGGCCATATCAATATCAGACAAAGTGAATTTCAGAGCAAGGAATACTACCAGGGATAAAGAGAGTATGTTATAATGATAAAGGGATCAATTCATCAAAAGGACACAATAATTGAAACATTTATGAACCTAATAACAGAACTGCTTCATACCTGAAGCAAAAACTAATACAACTGAAAGAAGAAATAGACAACTTCACAATTATAGTTGGAAATTTCAATATCCCTCTCAATAACTGACATAACAAGTAGACAGAAAATCAGTATGGATATAGAAGACTTGAACACATTATCAACCAACCTGACTAGTTGTTGTTTACAACACAATTCACCCAACAATAGTAGAATACACATCCTTGTCAAGTGCACACAGAACACTTACCAAGACAGATCATATTTTTTTATTGCAGTAAAATACACATAACATAAAATTTAACATCTTAAGTCATAAGATGAGTCTAATAAATTTTAAATAATTTAAATCATGCAAAATATGTTTTCTAACCATAATGGAGGTAAAACAGAAATCAATAAGAGAAAGATATCTGGAAACCCCCCAAATATTTGCAAACAAAAAACATACTTTTGTATAATCTGTGGGTCAAAGAAGAAATCAAAAGAGAAATTAGAAAGTATTTCCAATTTACTAAAAATGACACATCTAAATGTTTGTGATGTGGTTAAAGCACAGGAGGAATAGGAGAAGGGATTGCTAAGGGGCAGAAGTAAATTTTTATGGATATGTTCATTATCTTAAAATTCTTGATGGTTTTATAGATACATATGTGTGACAAATTCTACACTTTAAATACATGAAAGCATATGACCACACAAAGACTAGTACATGAATAGTCATAGCAGCCTCATTTGGATTGGTCCCAAACTGCAGACAACCCAAATATCCACCAGCAGTTGAATGAATAAATAAATTGTGGTACATACCCATAAAATGAGATACTACTCAACTACAAAAAGGACTGAACCATTGTTTGGTACATGCAACAAAATGAATACATTTCAAAATTATGCTCAGTGAAACAAGTCGGAATAAAGTGTACATTCTGCAGTCATTCAATTTATATAAAATTCTAAAAGTGGCAAACTAATCTCTAGTGATAGAGGGGAGACCAGCAACTGTCTGAGGATGGAACACGGGAGGGAGGAATGGATGCAATGGGCTCAAACAAATTTTGAGAGTGATAGAAACTTTTATTATCTTGGTTGTAGTGATGGTTTCATATCAAACATAGGTCAAAACTCACCAAATTGTACTTTTTTTTTTTTTTTGCTGAGGAAGATTCTTCTTGAGCTAACATCTGTGCCAGTCTTCCTCTGTTTTGTATGTGGGTTGCTACCACAGCATTGCTGACGAGTGGTGTAGATCTGCGCCTGGCATCCAAACCTGTGAACCTGGGCTGCCAAAGCACAGTGCGCCAAACTTAATCACTATGCCACAGAGATGGCCCCAAATTGTACTCTTAATATGTGTAGCTTAATGTGCATCAATTAAATCTCAATATATCCTTTCTAAAAAAATACCTTCCAGGGGCTGGCCCAGTGGCACAGTGGTTAAGTTTGCCCACTCTGCTTGGCAGCCCAGGGTTCGCCGGTTCAGATCCCAGGTGCGGACTTACACACTGCTTGGCAAGTCATGCTGGGGAAGGCATCCCACATATAAAGTAGAGGAAGATGGGCACAGATGTTAGCTCAGGGCCAATCTTCCTCAGCAAAAAGAGGAGGATTGGCAGCAGATGTTATCTCAGGGCTAATCTCCCTCAAAAATAGAAAAATAGAAAAATAAAAAAAATAGCTTTCACATTGAAATTCCTAAATTAAAAAAAAAATACTCCTTAGAAATCATTAGCTAATACTTCCTTTACCTCCTGTTCTCAGAATTTATTCACATGGCCGCATCTAACTCCAAAGGAAAGTGTTTATTAAAGAGTTTATTTCATTAGTCAAGTCAGAACTATACAATTTTAATCCACTCCCATTTAACATTATTATTCATGGATTTACATCTGCCATTTTACTTTTGGTTTTCTATGTCTCATCTATTTTTCATTTCTCTATTCCTCCTTCCCGCTTCCTTTCACACTAAGTAAACATATTCTAGTGTAAGGTTCAAATCCTTTAATAACTTTTACTGTATTTTAAAAGATATTTTCTTAGTGGTTGCTCCTGGGCTTACCCTATACATCTTAATTTATCAGCATGTACTTCAGATTTATACTAACTTTCTTCTAGTGACATATAGAAGCTTTACTCTTATATAGCTCTGTTCCCTCTTCCTCTATTGACGCTATTTTTGTTATACATCTTATATCTTTATATGAGACAAATCCAACAACGTATTGTTACAATCATTTCTTTAGCCGATATTATGTCTATTAAAGAATGTGAGAAAAAAAGAAGAGCAAGTACACATTTATGCTGTTTGTCATATTTGTCTTCTATTTACCATTTCTTGTTCTTTTCTCTTGTTCCTGTGGGTGCAAATTGCCATCTGGGGTCATTTCCTTATTCCAGTACAATCGTGTTCTCATTCACCTCCTTTGTGCTGTTATGCAGATATGTTACCTTTCTATACCTTATAGGCTCAACAATACAATTACATATGTATTGTTTTATATAATTACTTATAAAATCAGGAGAAGAAAGAAGAAAAATATGCATTTATACTACCTTTTATAATTACATAATTACCTTTATTCTCTTTATGTTTTCACGTGGATTTGAATTTCCATCCGGGTTTTCTTGCTTTCATCGTCAAGAACTTCCTTTAGGATTGTTTCTACGTTGTGTTTACTAGCAAAGAATTGTCTCTGTTTTAGTTTACCTGGAAATGTCTTTATTTCACCTTCATTTTTGAAAGATAGCTTTGCTGAATACAACATGGTCGACAGATTTTCTTTCAGCACTTGAAATATCTCATCCCACTGCCTTCTGGTCTCTATCGTTTCTGATGAGAATTCAGCTGTTAATATGACTGGTGGTCCCTAACTGCACCTGTTGAGTCATTTTCTCTTCCTGCTTTTAAGACTTTCATCCTCCAGCACTTTTGCTATGATATGTCTGGATGTGTACCCTTTTGCACTTATTCTTATTGGAATTTGCTATGCTTCTTTGATGTGTAGATAAACATTTTTCAGCTAATTTGGGAAGTTTTCAGTCATTATTTTTTTGAATGTTTTTCTGCTCTTTTTCTCCTTTCCTTCTGGCACTCCAATTATGTATGTGTTTGTTGGTGCACTTAAAGATGTCCCACATTTCTCTGAAGCACTATTCACTTTATTTCATTCTATCTTTTCCTCTGTTCTTCAGATTGCATAACGTCTATCAATCTATTCTAAAGTTCACTGATCCTTTCTTGTGCCAGTTCCACTCTACTGTAGAATTCCTGTAATAAACTTTTCATTTTGGTTATTGTGCTTTTCAACTCCAGAGTTTCCATTTGGTTCTTTTTTTTATATATAACTTCTGTCTCTTTATTTATATTCTCTATTTGAGTAGACATGGTCTTCATACCTTCCTTTACTTCTTTGAGCATGGTTTCCTGTAGGTCTCTGAACATATCTGTAATGGCTACCTTGAAGTCATTGTGAAATCACATTGAGGGTTGGTCACTAGTCCAAACCCAAGCTGTGCAGGAATTCTTCATGTCCGTAATCAACCTTCTCTCAGATTCCTCAACTCTTGTTGACTCCCCTCAATACTTTGCCCCACTCGTCTCTCTTTTTCTCTCAGAGGAAGTATATTCTTTTTCACCAAGAAATTCTCGTCCTGAAGGCTGGCATTCCCTCAGGTTCCTGACTTATGCCTCCTCATTCATTCTAAATAGCTTCTTTTCCAAGATTATGGATTTCTCCCCTTCTGGTCCTCTCAGTGTGTTAGTCTCATCAATGATGTCCTTTCTTCTAAGTCTTTCTGCTAGCCCATTAGCTCCTTCCCACTCCTCCCTGCCACCAACCCCCCCCCCCACCCCATCCTCTGCTTACTCTACAAATGCTTTCTCCCTTCCTTCCCTTCTTCTTCCATCCCTTCCCATTCCAGGCCTTTAAACTTCCCCATTGAAGCTTTCCTTCCTATTCCCTCTTCTCTGCGCCTATTCTCTGTCCATTGTTCAATAATATTTCTACTTTGTTGACACAATACATTAACTTGTAATTTCTATAAAGTAATCTGGCAAGATACATCCCAAAGCTAAAAATTACCCATACTTTTGACACGGTAATTTTGTGGTTGTGAGTTTTTGCATCAGTTTGCACAGTAACACAATTTATAATAAGAAACAGAATGGAAACAATGAAGGTTTATTCGACTCATTATCTCCCTTTTTCTTTTATTCTTTTAGTCAACAATTTTTTCAACTCCTATTTAAGAGTTAGGTTCTGGGGATAGAGTTGGAGACAAAATAGACACTGCCCTTGCCCTCACTGAGTTTGCAGTCTTCAGGGGAGACACGCATTAAATAGCTAAAGACACAACTAGATATATAATTGCAGACTGTGATAACTACCATGCAGACAAAGGACAAGGGCCACCACAATGATCAACAAAATGTGGGTAGTGGAACACATGGCAGCACAGAAATTCAGTAGGAGCCTCACAAAAGAGAGAAGTGAGATATCTTTATGTGCTGAAAGGAGGAGTTCATTGTGCTTATGCACCCTAAGGATTGAAACCTGTGCCCTGGTGAAACCAGCTCAACACAAGGTTGACATAAGGGAAGCCATATTGTAGAAAAGAAACCATATTGTAACTTTGAATGACCTGATTAACTAACCCAGCTGGAGATGCACTCTCCGGGAGGTATACATGCTCTGTAGATTTTATGGCCCCTCCCAGCTGTGATAAGTCATAAACTTTGTTCTTCTGAGTTCCTTAGGAATGTGATGACCCCCTGGGCACAGAGTCTATGCTGATATCCATCACCAATGACAACTGAAACTTCAGGGTATAGAGCATTGCTCTGGTCTCTGATGCATATCCAGTAAAACAAATGATTACCAGGAACTAAACCAGATGCCTCCCCTACCCGGAGACCAGCTCCCAACATAACTGGCCTGTAGTCTTTGTTCTGAAAGATGATTCTCTTGGACGTTAGTTGGCCATTTTCCCTTGCTAGCAAGCTGTAATAAAATCCCTTTCTCTCCTACCACCTTGCCCCTTGACTACTGGTGTGTCTTGCGGCAGGCAGATGACTCCCCTTGGGTGGTAACCCTGGTTTGAGCAGAATGGCTGCTCAAGCCCATATGTGTTTGGTTAAATCACGTTCTGCTGTTCTTTGGTCAGTAGAGAGTCTTCATTCAGGTCCAATGGGGATGTAACACACCTCATTTGCTCAAAGTTCACTGATCTGTAACAGTTTTGGCTGGTCGGAACCAGTCACGGTGAAACAGAATGTCCAGTGTGGATATCCCCTTTATCAGCTGGAAAGATAAATAAAAAGAATGGTGAGAAGGTATTCTGGCAGATCTGCTCAACTTGTATTGGTGGGTCAGAAGAGCAGCTCAGATGTATTGATATTTAAACTGAGAACTGAAGAATGAGTAAGAGTTTAGCCAGATGAAGAATGGGGAAAACAGGGCCCAGGCACAGAGAAATGTATGGGGTCGTGGGTTAGGAAAGAGCTTGGCATGTTCCATACTCTGGAAGTGGTGAGCAATGGGGAGAGGGGTGTGAGTTGAGCCTGGAAAGCTAGGCAGAGACTTGTCCTATAGGCCTTTCAGTCATGTGAGATTGGAGGGTTCATGTTAAGGACACAGGGAAGCCACACAAGGGGCATCATGACCTGAGTCATAGCTTTGTGAGGCCACTCTAACTCTTGGGAAAGGACTGGAGGAAGTCACATGGGATTCAGAGAGCACTTGACAGACAATGGCAAGGGTCAGCCGAGAAGTGAGAGAGACTCTAGACAGAGAGATGACTGGAGATGGAAAGAAGTTGCTGGATTCCAGGTTTATTTTAGAAACAGAATCAATAGGACACAACTAATCAACATATGGATTACATATAGGGCCTGAGGGAGCAAGAGGGGTTAGGAATGACTCCAAGTTTTCTGGTTTGCATAATTGGGTGGAGAGGTGCTATTTATTAAAATAAGAAAGCCTTAGGAAGAAACTAATTTGGGGTAGGAGAATGAATAATGGTTCTCTTTGAAGTTGTTAAACTTGATATATTATTTCTATTTGAGTGTTGTATTTCATATCCCATAGAAGGTTAAAATTTTTTATGAACCTGTGATACTGGGTAGTGATGATGTCAAGAACACAGTGGGGTACATGAATCTGAATTCCAAACGAGAGAGTCTGAATTAAAGTTACCCTAGGAGAGTCTTAGGCCTATGGAAGTTATTCATAGCCTTCATTTTCCCGGTTAGATATAATCTCTCTCTCTTTTGCTCTTGGTACATCTCATGGCTCTTACCTTTCTCTCACTCTCTCTTATGACGTTATATTTAGAGAAGTTGTAGGTTCATAGCAGAATTGCACAGAAAGTAGAGAGTTCTCATATACCCTCTGACTCCAAACACCCATAGCCTCCCCTACTATCATCACCCCCACCAGTGTGGTACATTTGTTACAAGTGATGAACCTATGCTGACACATCATTATGATGCAAAAACCATAATTTACATTAGCGTTCACTCTTGGTGTCGTACATTCTATGAGTTTTGAGAAATGTATGACAACATGTATCCACTATTATAGTACCACATGGAATAGTTTCACTGCCCTAAAAATCTTCAATGGTCTGCCTATTCATCATGCTCTCCTCCCAACACCTGGAGACTGCTTCTTACTCTCTCTTTGTAATAGTTTTTGTATATTTCTCTAGGTTCCCCTCTTGATTCTAAAGATGTATATTTAGCTTATTTACCTTAGGATTCCACTGCCTTTATGTAATGGGGATGATAACATAAATTAATATTTATTGAATTCAACATTAAATTTCAGATAAAAATTAAGATTAAATGAACTGCAAATTATGCTTTTTATTCCAGAAAGTTGCTTAAATGTATTTTTTGATAAAAAGAGAGAAAACCAATTCGTAGCCTGGAAATCTTGAATAGTAACACTTTTAATTTTGATGAATTCAGTTTTGAAGAATTAAGATGCATCTATTTCCAAATGCTTAAAGCTGCCAGTACTGGCTATCTCCTTTCTTTACCTAATACACCTAAACTTTTGGCAAACACTCCCTTTTAAAGATACAAGACCAGAACAGGGAGTTCCATATTCATTCCTAAGCCTGTTAGAATCATCCTGCTCCCCTATGTTTCAAATACACTCCTCAAAGGCCTCTGGCCTCTGAAATAACCAACCTACAGAATTACAGTGAAAGCTGGTTAATGATTGCAGATGTCACTATAACTAAATTGAGTAGATCTAAGGTAAAGCAGAGAACAATCAACGAGTAGGCAAACATAAGCTGGATCTGAGTGAGTCTGGAAGAGTTTTCTTCTTTCTTGAAGGGAAGGACAGATCTCTGCCATGTGGCTGTACCTGGCGGCCCTTGTGGGCCTGTGCTACCTCCTGCGCTGGTACCGGGAGAGGCAGGTGGTGAGCAACCTCCGAGACAAGTACGTCTTCATCACAGGCTGTGACTCGGGCTTTGGGAATCAGCTGGCCAGGCAGCTGGACCTGCGAGGCTTGAGGGTGCTGGCCGCGTGTCTGACGGAGAAGGGGGCCAAGCAGCTGAGGGACCAGACGTCAGACAGGCTGGAGACAGTGATCCTGGATGTGACCAAGACAGAGAGCATTGCTGCAGCCACCCAGTGGGTGAAGGAGCGCACAGGGGACAGAGGTATGGCCAGGGCGTCTGTCCGTTTGATAGACTGCTTTGTCCTCAGTGTTGTAGAAGTAACACATAACATGCCAGGTGAAAAGTCTCGGGGATCAGGTCGGGGCTATAAATTGGGGTGCTGTCTTCATTACACGAAGACTCCCAAATACATTAGTATTCATGGATTAAGTGAACAAATATTTATATTTGGCACTGCCCTGAAAAAATCAGGTTGTGTGGAACTATATATCTCAGGGTGGAAGGTAGAAGGAAGTGAGGAAATAGGTTTAAAAGGTGCATGTATGTACCTGGAGGGAAGGTAGAATGAAAGATAGGAAGGCAATGAGGGGAAGAGAGGGGTGATGGTGCTGTGGCAACTCTAATTTGCAGGTGTTTTGGGTAATGAGAGTGGGTATGAGAAGATGAATGTATGAATCATAAGTTACACTTGTGAATTACAATCTATTTTCCCAGAGACTTTTCTCTGAGTCACTGCCCAGAGTTGCCAGGACCCTGTCACCTGGACCCGTTCACCCTACACGTTGCCCTACATCATCAATTCTAGTCACAGTGTGTGAAAGCACCAGGAAGTGTCAAAGGTCATGGGGAGAGTGCAGCAAGGTATTGGTTAATAAGTCATATCTGAGTGACAAAGTTTGTGCAGAGTTCCCTCCCAGTAAAACGTTGGCAGGGAGTTGAGATTACCTCTGACCTCACTCTCTGTGGGTCACTCACATTCCAGTGCAGTTTTTTTTTTTTAAAGATTTTATTTTTCCTTTTTCTCCCCAAAGCCCCCCAGTACATAGCTGTGTATTCTTTGTTGTGGGTCCTTCTAGTTGTGGCATGTGGGACGCCGCCTCAGCGTGGCTTGATGAGCAGTGCCATGTCCGCACCCGGGATTCGAACCAACGAAACACTGGGCCACCTCCAGCGGAGTGCACAAACTTAACCACTCGGCCACAGGGCCAGCCCCTCCAGTGCAGTTTTAAATGGGAAGGAAGGAAAGGGGCCACAGTCAACGCTGCCAGGCATCACGCACTCATGGTACTATCATTCATCAGGTATGGGAGGGTGCAACAGTTAACATGTGAGGCACGATACCATACTGCTTCAGGATATTGCACCAAAGCTTAGGAATTTTAAAACAAATAATATTTGGTCCTGTTGTTCACTGAGCTCTGTAGGTTTTTCAAAGCAAAGACAGGGGCAATGGGGTTGAGGCCTGCCGATCTCATTAATTTCCTAGAAGCATGAGGCATCTCAGCTGCATGCATCGCATTCTTGCAACAGCCACCTCTACTCCTTCCAGCTCTCTCGCTCTCTTCCCCAGATCCCAAATATTCTTGGGCCCACCAGGACCTCCAATCAATTGATCCGAACCACCGTTTCACCAACCCCTCACCCCTTGATTTTCTCTCTTCCTTCATTACCCACCTACATCCCACGATCTGTTACTATGATCACCCCACTGCAAAGGCCTGAGATTCTCTTGCCTCTCTCTCACCCTTAGTTGTCCTCACTTGGCAAAAATCACCAGCCTGGGTAATACCATCTCTCACTGCCCCATGCCTGCCCTTATGGAGTTGAGCATAGGTGGAAAAAACTGAACTCACAGATGAGTTCAGTTGGTCTCATGACAAATTCATGAACACAAACCTCTAGTGGGCTTTTATGCTGTTGTATATACAGTCATACTCCATTCATTCTCCCAATTTCCAGACAACCATTTCAAACCTTTCCTTTCTCCTCATACCTCCAGCTTTTCTCTGCTATCCTCACTCTGAGCTGATACCAACTTGACTGAGGAAAACTGAAGCAATTAGAAAAGAATTTCCTCAGACTTCTCCAGCTCCCCTACCCACTTACCATCGTCTGCACCAGCACAGCCTGCTCTACCTTCCTCCCCGTATAAATCCAGTCCATTCATGTGTGCAATAGAGCATATCCTCCTTGGCCTATTCAGAACCTCCCAGCAATTCTACCCTCTTCCTGTTCTCCTAAATCATTGGTTTTTTCTCTCCACTACTATCTTGCCATCCTCTCACCACTACCACCATCACCACCCCCAAATCTTTTTTCTTGTTGCCACAAAATTCCTCTATGGATATATCTGTACTCATTGCCTCCAGTCTCTCTTCCCATTTTTCTATTAAAGCATTTCTAATCATGCACCCACACCCATCCCAAATTTGCTTTTATCAAGATGTCCATTGACCTTCCACCGTCTACATCCAAGGGGTGATTCTTAAGTCCTCACTCTACCTGACCTAGCAGCATTTGACTACTTTTTCTCCTTCTTGATACACCCTCCTCCCTTGGCTTCCAGGACACCAATCTCTTAGAACTTATTTCCTCTCATCTCAATGCTGATTCAGTTTCCTTTGCTTGTTCTTCCACTTAATGTAGATCCTTAATGTAGAGTGCCTTCAGGGCTCAATTCTTGGACATGGATGGTGTCCATACTTATACGTCCAACTCATACTTCTCTCCTGAGCTCCAGATTCAAATTTCCAATTGCCTCCTCCACATTTCTACTTGAGTGTCTGGGAGAATCTCAAGTTTAACCTTAGTGAACTGAACTCATGATCATTGCCCATCTCTAAAACTTCCCCATCCTAGTAAATGGTAACTCCATTCTGTTTTTCATTCCAACAAAGTCATTCTTGATGACGCTTTTCCTTTCCCTCACCATATTGAAAACGTCAGAAAATTATACTGTATCTTTAAAATTTGTTCAGAGTTTGACTTTTGACTACTGCTGTTGCTACCAATCTGGCTGTAGCCATCATCATTTCATGCCAGGATCACTGCAATAATCTCCTACCAGCTACCCTGCATCTGCCCTTGTCTACCCTCAGTCAGTTCTCAACAGAGCACAGAGTACATTTCAAAAATAAGACAGATCATGTCATTACTGTACTCAAGACCCTGCAGAGGTTTCCCATTTCACCTGAAGTAAATGTCAAGCTCTTTAAAATGGCCTAGACTGCACCGGGTGATCTGGCATCCCATTACTTCCCTGACCAGGTCTCTCCCATTCCCTAACTCTTGCCATCTGCCCCAGGTACACTGGGCTTCTTGCTGTTCCTCCAACAGGTCAGGCATCCAGACAAACACCTGATGATATTTATTGAAGCGTTTTTTCACCCAGAACTATCCGCTCCAGATGTCCCTTTGACTGTCCCATTCTTCTGTAAGTTTTGCTCAGTTCTCAACTTTTCAAAGCTTGTCCTGACTACCTGACTCAACACGGTGAATGAACACTCCTCACCTGCCACCCAACCCTGCTCACCTGCTCTTTTGCCATTGAAATCCTTCTGACACACTATGTAATTTGACAGTTTATTAGGTTTATGGTTTATCTCCCTTAAGAGAATGTAATTTGAACACTGAAATGATTCTTAAGTGTGTTTCCCATTTCTAGTTTCTCTTTGTTTCTACTAGGTCTGTGGGGTTTGGTGAACAATGCTGGCATTGGTGTGCCAGCTGCACCGAATGAATGGCTGACCAAAGATGATTTCTTGAAAATATTGAACGTGAACTTGATCGGCCTCATCGAGGTGACCCTGAGCTTGCTTCCCCTGATCAGAAAGACCAGGGGAAGAATAGTCAATGTTTCTAGCCCAGCTGGGAGACTATCTGTGCTTGGTGGTGGCTACTGCATTTCCAAGTTCGGTGTAGAAGCTTTTTCTGACAGCCTGAGGTAAGGACCAGCCCACTGAGGCAGTCTTGCCTGTGGCTGGAGTGTATTCATGAATGATGGGCCTGGGTTCCGGTTATGCTGGTGTGGACCAAAATGAGGGACTTTGAAAACGGAATGTCCAAATCTTACAATCATATTAGACAATCCATCAAGAAAAGTGAAAAATACATTAGGATTTATTCTGTCTTTATTGCCATTTCTATAAAATGTCTACGTGTAGCAAACATATTTAATATATTTCTTCAAAAATATATATAAATATAAATGAATGTTATACATAATGCATTTTCAATATGTGAATGATAATAGCCTGTTGTTAAAGAATTATTTGCCTTATTAATTAAGTGCCACAAGTCACTAAGCCTGACAGATGGTTCCCCCTGAGGAAAGGGTGACTATTGGTGGGCTAGTCTGAAGGCAAAGCGCTGTGCCCAGTGCTCTATCTACCCCTCACAGAAGCCCCGTGAGTTAGATGTGATTCTCTATGGTCAAGCATGAGGCTGAGCCAGAATCTGAACCCAGTTCCGTGTGTGAAAAACTTCTGTAGTGGGTGTGCAATGAATATATTAAAATGAATAGGAGTATGTACCAGGTGTGCGGAGGCACCGAGGATGGGGTGACTCACCTTTCCTCAGGGCAGAGGCCAAGGAAGGCTTCACAGAGGAAAGGAGTTCTACCTGGGCAGGGGCAGGAAGGGGCTCTGGTGTTCAGAGAGCTGTCGCAGAGGGCAGGGCCTGGAGAGACAGGTGTGGGAGGGGCAGGAAGAGGCAGCACTAGCGCCTCGGCCCTTGGAGCTTTCCAGATCTGGGAAAGAAGCTATCTGTGGGCATTGACCCTGGGACTGTCTCTCGGACATCTTCCCCTGGTATGATGCCTGGGTCTTCTCATTCACATTCTTCCTCGAACTAAATGCCTTCCTTGAACATTTGGCCTTGAGCCTTATTTCTTTAAGAAGGAACAGGATTGATCAGGTCACAGATGGAGGCTGTTTCCTTGGTTCACTCTCTCTTGTCTTGTGTTTCAGAAGAGAGCTTTGTCCCTTTGGCGTTCGTGTTGCTATCATAGTACCCGGGAACTTTAAAACATCCATTTGCCCTGACAATGTACAGGATCTACTCAAGGGGCTCTGGAGCCAAGCGTCCCCAGAGGTGAAGAAGAGCTATGGAGACAAGTACTTCGAAGGCTGTAAGTTCTTCCTGGACCCCCACAGAGCAAGGCTGGCAAAGTCATTAACTTCAAAAACCTTGAGTGCTTGCTATGTGCCGGCTGGATTCCAATCTCTCTTGCTGCGCCTCCTGCCTTGCTCAGGCCATGGCTTTCCCTTGAGCCCCACACCCGCTCAATACACATGAGCTCTGTGCCAGGCCCTGTGGAAGAATTAACTCAGCCAATCCTCACCGCCCGAGAGGGAAAGTGCCTCTGTTATTCCTCATTTACAGATAAAGAAACTGAGGCCTGAAATGGCGAGTGATTTCCCAAGATCACTCAGCTAGTCAGTGGAGAAGTGATGAAGTGAACCTTGGCGATGTGGTTCCAGGCAACTGTAGACCGAAAGAAATATAAAGCGAGCCGCAAATGCAAGCCACATACCTCATTTTAATTTTTCAATTTGCCATAAAAAAGGCAACGAACAAGTGAATTTAATCCAGAATAGACTCTATGCAGAACACCATCATTTCAACAAATAATCAACATAAAACATTGTGACTGGGGGCCGCCCAGGTGGCCTGGCGGTTAAGTTTGCGAGCTCTGCTTCAGTGGCCTGGGGTGGCCCAGCTGGCATCCCCGGCCCTGCTTATCAAGCCATGTGGTAGCAGGTGTCCCACATATAAAACAGAGGAAGATGAGAATGGATATTAGCTCAGGGCCAATCTTCCTCAAAAGAGAAAAATTGTGATTGAGATATTCCACAGTTTTTCTTCATACTGTCTTTGAAACCCAGTGTGAATTTTTACATTTATTGCACATCTCTATCAGACTGATCACATTTCTTGTGCTCAATTGCCACATGTGGCTCGCGGCTGCAGTACTGGACAGCACAGCTACAGGGCCTGCGCTCCGAGCCTGGCACCCTGCCTCCTCTCACCCTGTGACCACCCAGTATCAGACCCGGAACACAAGGCCATCCTCTTCCTGGCCTGCCCTCTCCCACTCCTCCAATACTGTTTGTACCCGTATTTTCTCCTGCTTTTCATATCAACTTGTTACTACAGTTCTAACGGTTTTTCTCTATAACAGATTGCCAGTATTACAATAAACTCACATCTCTAGGACAGAAGGATCTGAGCCTGGTCACCAACTGCATGGAGCACGCCCTGACCGCCGTCCACCCTCGTATCCGCTACTCTGCTTGCTGGGACGCCGTATGCTTCACTCTCCCTCTGTCTTATTTACCAACATCTGTGGCGGACTTTATTCTTAGTCTTTTTGCAAATGCGGTCAGGCCCGCTGATGCTGTGTAGTCTGCGAGTTCGGCCTACACAGCTGATTTTAGATGGGGGGCAACAAGTCAGGTTTCCTCCTGGGAGAAGAAAGAACCAGGGGAACACGCAGCTGTCTACTTCAGCTGGTTCTTAGAGGCCCTGTCATATTTTAGTTCACAAATTCCCAGATAACTTGTCCCAAAAACTACTTGGTGAGCACCTCCCATGTTCTAGGTACGGTTCAGGGTGCTGAAGATTCACGCATGCCCAAAACAAAGATTCCTGCCTCGTAGTACTCAGATCCTGGCCAGATCATCCCAGTGCAGGATGACTCTGCTGAGAGAATTATTAAAACTCAAAGGGTCTTGGGGGTCTCTTAACTGCTGTAAAAGATGTGTGCAAGGTCATAGCTCCTAACTTGAAAATCATACATGATTGGTGACATTGTATTTCAGATATAAATTCTTTTCTTTCTTTAGCAGTTTTTTTTTGTACCTTGGCTTTCTGAAAATTAATCATTAAATTATTTTCTCAAATAAAGTAATAAGTTAAATAACTTAGTCCTTTTCTTCTAAACTCTTAATACTGAGACTTAAGTACCCCTGCCCGGATTCTCTGGCAGTGACAATCTCCTGACTCTCCTGTGAAAGCCTTCCCACGTCCTTGCCTTGTTTTTGACCCCTGCTCTGCCACTGACCGACCTCACTCTCCTGCCCTCACCCACTCCTCTCAGTTCTGCCCCTCCCTCCCTAGGTTTGGGGGAGTAAGCTGGGTGTCAGGAGCTTTGGGAGTCAAAAGGGCTGAGGTCAGGCCCCAGCTCTGCTGCCTCCAACCGTGTAACTCTGGGCAAAGGAATAACTCCTGTCTCTTTCCTCATCTCTTAAATGAGAAGAATATTGCCCCATAGGTTTGTTTCAAGAGTTCAAAGAGAAGATAAACTGAGGTGCTCAGAAATGGGTCCTTCCTTCACCCTGTGGAGGACGTTCAAGGGGAGTTACCCTTCAAATATTCTAAAACAATCATTTATCCTTGTGTCCCTTGTGGCAATTTCTAATTGGATGATGTTTTGTGCCTGTCACACTACGTCCACTTCTTAAAATATCTAGCTCATATGATAATACTATGAGGTAGGGGTCCTCTTATTATCCCGACTTGCTGATGTGAAAACTGAAACTGAGAGAGGCTCAGTTCTCAGAATTCTGAGAATCCCCAGCTCAGGGCAGGGCCTGTCTCAGGTCTCCTGACCTCAGATCCCAAGGCTGCCTAAACGGATGAGTAGAGCTCTGGTGCTGTGCCAACTTTTCTGTTCCTACAGTGATAAAACTATGCTTTTCTCATATTGAAAACTTTTGCATTTGATGTCTCATGCAGACTGTCCTCAGGTATTTCAAAGAGAAAATAACGTTCTACTGGAATTATTGCTATGTTTGGAGACATGGGAGTTTGCTGTTTCAGATAATACACTCATTCTACCGGGATTATCTCACTTCACAAATTAGAGCATCATGATTTCTTGCTATCTTTGATTCCAAAGGCCTGGGCCTCATTAACTAGATGGTTACAGATGAAACTTGTCACTGCTGTTGTGCCTTTATTTGCAATAAATATGGTTCTAAAATGGGGCATGCAACAAATCAAGCCATCATAAATAGATGATCACATGTCAGGGTCCTCCTAAGTTGCAGATTTGCTATACACTTGAATATCACTACCATACAAATAGTGAATGAAAAGAGTGAAATAAGTGAGATATATGATTTCACAGATAAGTGATTTCATGGCCCTGAAGAGCAGGGCATTGAACTTCAAAGTTCTGATGGCAGAATAAAGACTACCTCATTTCTTCCGACAATTTGGCAGCTGTAAAAAAACCCTTGAATAAATAATTTCACTTGTGGGAATCTAGCTTAAGAAACACAATGACAGCAATGTTTTATTGAGTTACTACTATGTCCTAAGCACTGTGCCAGATGCTGAAGGTACAAAGAAAAGTAAAATACATCTCTGGTTTCAAGACGGCAGCAGACAGAGCATGCTGTATTCTTAACCTCTACATTTAATCCCAGAAGAGGAAGAGAGGGAGAAAGACCATATAAGATGGCCAATATGCTTTAAGAACACGTATGTCAATGTAAACTCATTTCAAAAACATTTAGAAGGATAAACATTAAACTAACGGCAAGAGTTGCCACTAGAGAAAAAGAAAATAGACCAAAATTGAGGCTGACTGTCAAAGGAGACTTTAGTATTATTTGCAATATTCTAATTTTTCAAAAATAAAGGTATGTATTATAATTTAAATTGTGGTAATAAAATAACATTTAGAAAAATTAAGGTGCACTCTCTCTTCCCCTTACCCTTTTCATTCTGAAAATTCAGTCCTAAAGCCATTATATCAGGTCACATGCAGCAGGCGTTGGCATTGGGTGGTGAGGTGTCATGGAGAGTCTGAGCATGAGCTGGGGGACGGGACCGTATGTGCAGGTGGGCTGTCTAGTGCAGATGTCCAATCCCATGTGGGGTGAGAATTGTGGCCGTGTAGAAGGGCTGCCCAGCAAGGCTTGTCGGAGCCCAGTAGAAATAAAGACAGTGTTCGTGCACGGAAGGGAATTGGTGCAGTGATGGGCAACTGATTACTTACGAGGGGACAGATGAAATAAGTAAACAGATTAATAGGACCAAGATTCTCATTTTTAGAGAATGAGTTACAAATGTGGAAACCTGGAAACTCTAATGAACTCTATGATTTTGGATTGGAATTGGAGGTATTGGTGTGAACTCACGGTTTTCATACAGGTAAAGACAAATATATATTTAAATATGTACACATACATATATGTGCACACACATACATGCATACCCATATATACATACATATAAATATATATATTCCCTATTCACTGTTCACTGAAAGGGCCTGGGAAGAGCAACACAACAGTAATAGCAATTAGAACACCTAACACCCAGGTCTTGACTTCTAAATATCATTCTCCACTAAAAGGAAGCAGCTTACTTGGAGAAACGATTGATTCCAGGACAAGCGCAGGGAACACACAAGATGAACTTGGAACATCTTGTTGAAGCAGAAAGGAAGAAAGTACTCAAAGAATAAAGAAATTTGTCAAAAAGACACAGAAGCTAGATTGCAGGGGCTCCCACCAGACAAATCTATTTTGTGACTATTTGAGCATTAAAAATAAATATGAAAATAACAGATATTTAGTCAATTGATCAAAACAGGAAACCATGAGCCATATTAACATCAATGATCTGTTTCACTCATCACAAAACTGCGCATCCTTGAGCACAGTCTTTGGTTTAGGGATTCGCACAAGACCCATATCAGGTCAACCAGATCATTACTAGGGACTGATTGGTGGCTACAATGCAAAGTTCCCTTTCTTCTAGGGTTCTTCAACTGGAGGGTGTAAGAATGCACTGCTGGTGGCCATCCTGCCTATCACATGGAAAGAGCCAAGCCTTTTCTGAAGAATAAAGCCAAGGAGAGATAAGCAGAACTGAGAGGTGGAATAAGAAATCTTAAGGATTTGATCCTCTGGGTCCAACTGGGCCAGAAGCTAGTTACCTCCTTGGGTTCCCCTGCCCTGGTTGTATGGGGGATATTTTCTTTTTGCTTTAGTTTGGGCCGGATTTCTATCACTTGTATCCAAGAGTTCTATTACAGAAAGATATACACTTAAAAAGATAATTCCAGTAACATAGGTAAGTGGATAGAGAGAAGCACGACATGGAACAGAGAGACGGGTATGCGGTCCAAGCTAGAACTTCAGAGCAGGTTTTCTGAAGAGCCCTAGTGGGGCCAGTCTTGCCCTCTTGAGTCTTTCAGGCAGAGGAGTCTTCAAGATCCCTCAGCGATCTAGAAAACTCTGACAGAACCTCATCAATGAGATTACATCTCCAACTTCTGCCTTCTGGAAGACATGGAGACAAGGCAGCTTCCAGCTGTGAAGCCAGAAAGGTGCCTCTGGGAAACTGGCCCCGCTCAGGAAGCAGTCCCGTCCCCAGAGTTTGGCTTCTCTCCCTGGTACGCTTCCTTGAGGCACTCATTATCCCAGGAGATTGAGTACCAGATGGAGGTTAAGTGCCAGATGCTGAAGATAGAGCCCTGGGAAAGACAGATGGGGTCCCCAATCTCAGGACAGATAGATAATTAAGTCACAAGTTACAACAGTATGAAACATGTTGTGACAGGGGAAGTAAGGACACCAATTCTAGCTTGGAAAACAGGAAGGAAAGAGAAAAGGAAGGATGACTTGCAAGTATTTTGTAAGATTTTTCAATGAAAAGCTCCCTTCCGATGACTTCTAGTTCCTCTGTGAAGTGGGAATGCAGCACATTTGCTATGAGGGTTGGGGCAGAAGGTTGAAGAAAGGGGTGAAGGTTTGAAATAGTTTTTGATATGAGAGTTGCTGTTTTAAGCTACATGAGGCAGAGGGCTTTGTCTGTTTGGTTCACTGATGTATCCCATGTGCTTAAGAGTGTGTGGCACCTGGTAGTCACTTAATAAATTAGTTCCAGGTGTTGCTGGGGCTGACCATTAGTTGTAGAACAGGAGGTTATGGCAGCACCAATATACTCAATATACACATCAGTGCCCAAGGAGGGAAAAGAGGACTGAGGAAGGGGTCAGGACTGGGTTTCTTTCAACTGAAACAGATTTATGGATTCAAGGAGCTTGAGAGGTAAACTCCGCCTCTGCCACACCGAAGCCAAATAATATGGGCTCCTAGCACTTACCATGTGCCTGGATCAAAGGAAAAACTCTATATGTTCAGGCCAAGCTCTCATCCAGCGAGGTTACTAAATCTCTGGTTTGGAAGTGGCTACGGGACTGCCTGGGGAGAGGAACGTATAGCTGGCAGCCAGCCATTACTGGCACACACCTGTAAGGCTCCTACTTGACTGATGTGCCCCAGCTTCTTGCCCACAGCGTAGGATTAAGATGTTTTCCAGTTGCTTCTGCTCTAGGTCTCCTTTGATGCTCTGATAAGTCACTCTCTGAGTGATTCCTTCAGGTACTCACCAAATCCATCTGTGCTTCCTTTCAGAGTCAGCCCCCAGATCCCCCATGGCATAGCTTTCTGAGCCCCGTGACAGGTGATCTTTTCAATCTCTCCCCAGACTTGCTCTAGAACCTTCCCCAGGTCATTTCCTTGTTGGAGATTTCCTAGGTTGCTCACATGGAAGTTTCCTGAGTGCCTCAACACTGTTACCCTCGGGTTTTTGCTTCTTTGGTTCTTAACCAAGAAGCCATGATTCCATTTCTGCTCTCTTTTTTTAAATTTATTTTTTTATTGAGGTCACAATAGTTTGCAACATCGTGAAATTTCAGTTGTACATTATTATTTGTTAGATATGATATAAGTGTTCCCCTTCACTCCTTGTCCCCACCTCCCACCCTCCTTCCCCCTGGTAACCACTAAACTGTTCTCTTTGTCCCTAGGTTTGTTTATCTTCCACAAATCAGTGAAATCATATGGTGTTTGTCTTTCTCTGGCTTATTTCACTTAACATAATACCCTCAAGCTTCATCCATGTGGTTGTGAATGGGATGATTTTGTCTTTTTATGGCTGAGTGGTATTCCATTGCGTATATATACCTCATCTTCTTTATCCAGTCATCAGTTGATGGGCACTTGGTTTGCGTCCACGTCTTGGCTATTGTGATAATGCTGCAATGAACACAGGGGTGCATAAGCTTCTTTATACTGTTGATTTCAAGTTCTTTGGATAAATACCCAGTAGTGGGATGGCTGGATCATACGGTATTTCTATTTTTAATTTTTTGAGAAATCTCTGTACTGTTTTCCATAGTGGCTGCACCAGTTTGCCTTCCCACC